AGAGGAACCACTGGGAAGAACCATAAGAACCCAAAGAGTAGGAAATGCCGAGAACTGAAAGGTCATGGAACTAAACAAAATAAAAGTTCCTCACAGAATCAAAGTGCTTTGAAAATTTCATTATTTAATCATAGATTTAATGTTCAATTAATCATTAGGTTGAATGGTCACATTTCAAGTAGTCATCTCTAAATAAATTCCGACTCCGCATCCTTTTTAAATAAAATCCGACTCTTAAATAAATGATATAATATCATTAAAACAATCAATTTAATTCCATCTTGCGCAAGGAATTTGAAAAGAAAATAAGTTCAATAGCTTCTGCTCACTGTGCAAATTAAATTATTCAAAATTGGGCTCACAGTTACGCATACGATCCGAACAAAAATAAGAGGATACCATGGACATCTAGTACCTCACTTTGCTTTACTTTGGTCAATAAATGAAGAAAAGAATTCCGGTACAATGATTCCAACCGTGTATATCCTATAGTAACTCCACGAGAACGCTCCAGAACAGACATTGTGAATTTAAATCAACAATCAAATGATCAATGAGAGCCAACATTCTCAGACTGGAAGTTACAAAAACCCTGAATTTAACAGAAATTAGGAATCCAGAAAGAATCAAAATAACTAATCATCTTCATAGGGAGCGAGTCTATTTACATGAACAATTTCAAACGACCATTCGGAATTTTATGAATTCGATATACAACATAATTAAGTATGTATTTGATAATATATGGACCTTCCCACTCACATTGAAGTTTTGGACACTTTCCTTTAACTCTTTTAGGAAAAAATAACCAAACCTTTTGACCGACATCAAAAGAAAGAATATTAGATTTTAAATCATACATATACTTAAGTTTTTCAGATTTAATTTGCAACTTATTACGTACATTATCATGAACAATCTTTAATTGTTCACGAAGATTAAAAACAAAATCAGTTGCAGAATTATCCTCAAAAGAATTATCTGAAGGATTAATTCCTCTAAGAAGATCAATAGGCAACCTTAATTCACGACCTAACATCAACAAAGCTGGAGAATACTCAGTAGTTTCATGTCTTGAAGAACAATAAGCCAATAAAAATAAAGAAATCCACTTATCCCAATCTTTTTGATTCTTACTAATAAATTCGGACAAATATTGAAGAATAGTCCTATGCAACCTTTCGACTAAACCATTTGATTGAGGATGAAGAGGTGTGGTTCTTGTCTTCTTAATACCAAAAAGACTTATCACCTCCTTGAAGATTTCAGATTTGAATTCTCAACCCTGATCAGAATGAATTTTAATAGGAACACCATATCCACAAAACATTTGAGTTACTAAAGCCTCAGCAACAGTAGAAGCTTGATGATTAGGCAGAGGAATCGCCTCAGCTCATCTAGTAAAATAATCTGTAACAACAAGTAAAAATTTATTCCCGAAGGAGGTTTTAGTAAAAGGACCAAGAATATCAATGGCAACCCTTTCAAAAGGAGAACCAACATTATAAATTTGAAGTTGACCACAAGACTTTTTATGGGGACCCTTTTTAGCGAAACAGACTTTTCATTTTTTATACCAAATCTCAACATCTTGCTTAAGAGTTGCCCAGAAAAATCGTTGACGAATTTTGGAAATCGTTTTATAAATACCAAAATGACCACCAGAAGGAGAATTATGAGCCTCATGAATTATTTCATTCACTTTAGCTCGAGGAATGACAACCTGAAAAATAATATGAGAAAAATTTGGAACTTCCCAACGTTTAACCAAAACACCATTTTTCATTTCTAAAGGATTCCAATGAAGTAAATAAATTTCAAATGTAGAATCGAAATGTGAAACATCGTTAAACTCGGGAACTTTATTTTTCTTTTCGAATTTAATAATGAAACTCAAAATGTTATCATCATTTTGAAATTTAATCCAATCAGAATCATTATTATTAAATGGAATCGTTTGAGATAACACAGCACCAATGCTAACATTCGAAGCATCAGTATCAAGAATAAAAGGATAATTTGGATCAGGATAACCCAAAATTGGAGTAGAAGTCAAAATTTGTTTCAATTTTTGAAATGTTTGAAAAGCTAAATCATCCCAAATGAAATCTTTTTTTTCCTGACTAATAAGATATAAAGGTTTTGCAATAGTAGAAAAATCTTTGACGAATTTCCTGTAATAAAAACAAAGACCTAGAAAACTTCTAAGTTCAGATTTATTTTTAGGAACAGGCCAATTAATAATGACAGAAATTTTACCTGGAGAACTTTTCAGTCCTTCACCAGAAACTACATGTCCAAGGAAAATAACTTCTTTTTGGAAAAATATACATTTCTTAGGATTTATCTTGAGAGAAGATTGTAAAAGTATTTCAAAAACATTTTTAGGATGAATAAAATGTTCATTTAGACTTTTACTAAAGATGATAATATCATCCAAATGAACTAAATAAATTTCACCAAGAAGATCTTCTAAAACTATGTTCAGAAGTTCAACGAAGATGGCAAGAGCATTACACAAACCAAAAGGAAGAATCTTAAATTACCAAACCTCACTCCAAATACAAAAAGCAGTTTTAGGTCTATTGTCTGGAGCAACTTCAACTTGCCAATATCCACTTTTTAAATCAACGGTAGAAAACTATTGAGCACCAAGAACCATGTTCTATATGTCTTCTTGATGTGGAATTGATGTTGATTCCTAAACTGTGACATCGTTTAACTCACGATAGTCAACACAAAATTTTATTACATCAGCTTTTTTTGGAACAAGAACAACAGGAGAAGCCCAAGGACCATTACAAGGTTCTATTGCATTCTGTTGTTCCATTTCCTCCATAACTGAATCAACTTTATCCCTATAATGTGAAGGAATACGACGAGGAGCATGTTTAATAAGAAATGCATTTCCAACATTTATTTTATGTTGTAAAATTTTGCACTTTCCTGAATCGAAAGAATTTTCCGCACAGATATCTATATTCCCCATTAATAGTCCTAAAAACAGAATTTATCATTATCATCCAAAAATTTTGAAGATTTTTCAAACAAATCTAAAACCAACTCTGGAAGTTTATTCAAAGAAGAACTAATTCTATTCATTAAAACAACTTTATTACTTTCCGAGAATTTTTCATCAAGAAGATCTTCGAAAGACTTGATTGAGAAATCTGATCCTAAAATACATTCTCCTTTAATTTCAGCGAAAACAACCTCTAAATTAACCTAAATATTGAAAATCTTCATTTTTACAGTCTCGATAAAATCAAAATCAAATTTATCACCTGAAACTGTAAAAATAGAATAAGAAATAGAAGAATTATTCGAAACAGTTACCATACCTTTAAACAAAGAAGAATTAACAATCGTAATATCAGCAGCGGTATCAACTGTCATGGTACATTTTTCGCCATTAATTTTTCCTCTAAGTAAAAGTTTCAATCGGTGCGTTACAATGGACGCATACTACTACAAGCGTAACTTGTAAATGGCCCGGGTAGATCCCAGAAATGGATTCAATACAACACAGTGAGATGCATCGAACATCTGATGCCGCTCTGGAGGACATGTTTCACCGTAACATCTTGTGGAAAGAGATACCCTGAATCCTCTTCTATGTTGGATGACTTGAAAGTGTACGCGGCAAGTCCTGAGAGACTCCGAGCAGCCCGAGAGGTTGTGTCCGAGTATACCAGTGCAATCGGCATGGAATTTGGCTTAGACAAGTGCGCAGTAGCCCACTTAGTAAAAAAAAGATCGCTGAACTGGAGTGATAATGTCGAGCTTACAGACAAAAGCATCATAAAACATCTGGATGCTGGAGAGTCACACGGATATCTTGAATAGGCACAATCGCCTTTGCAGGACGTGTTTGTCATCAATGATACTCTTCGCATTGAGTACGAGTGGGGAGTTAAGAGAATATGGGGCTCTGAACTATCAGGCCCTGACAAAGTCTATACTTTCCCGGTGATCTGGGAGGGTGTGGACTACTAAGTTTGGAGTGTCTACATGACAGGTTAGTGATAGACCTGGCTTATGACGTCTATGGGAGCTATGATCCTCTTCTCAAGTTTGTGAACAGCTTTGAACTATTGGGAAGGGTTGCGTTCCTATATAGAGTAGTATATCAGGCAGTGCAGATCCTCGGCTCAGTTTTCGACCCTAGCAGCCCAGACGGTCTCAGGCTTTTGCAATTGACCGGAGGGCAGCGAAAGGTCGATATAAAAACAACCGAGTGGTTAAAACTGCTTGACGAACATGTGGCAAAGTTTTTACGGGTGTGTTTTACCGTCATCTCGAAACATACGACTTGTCACACCAGTTGACTGTTTAACATCTTGAGTCGGCTGGCTTGTTCTTTAAATGGACATGACGCCAGTGCTGCCCTATGTTCCCGGTAAAATTGAATCAGTCGTTGAGAACGGGAGAGCATAAATTGTTCGGAATTTCCTGCTCTCTACGCCTCAACGCATTGAACATAAGCCAGATACTACTCTGCTTGACGATACCACCATGCACGTATATTCCATTGAGTTCTCAGCCCCGGCCAGACAAATATACGTGCAAAAGAAGAGAGTAAACAGGAACGTTACAGAGAGATCATGGAGGTCATAAGAAATGTCTATCCCGAATATACAGCGCATGTGATAGTCCTGGTAATTGGCGCTCTCGGAGGGATGAGAGACTGCTTTCTGACAGAGCTTTGAACAATACCAGTCTGCTGTAGTCAGGCTGAGATTCTCGCAGTTCGTATGCAGAAAGCAGTCATCCTTGGTTCTCTCCGAATCCCGAGACGACTGTAAACAATGACTGAGGGAGTCGGGTGTCTGCAGGATTTTTCCGTCTGGTCAGGCCCTAGGTGGATCGGAGGCCTGGGTACCCTGGCCAGACACCTTTGAAGAATCGCCAGACAATGATAATACTAATACGTATCTAGCCATTCTAATTATTTCAAATTTATTTACATTCATTAATATTCTGTTTGGTTTTTTCAATAGGATCAAGAGGACTAGAAGCTCCATATGCAGTAATCGTCTACATCCATGGTGAAAGTTTCGAGTGGGGAACAGGGAATGTTTATGATGGGTCGGTTCTTGCAAGTGCAGGCCATGTCATTGTGGTCACAATAAATTATCGTTTAGGAGTTTTAGGTAACAAATACATGTATACATTCTACGAATTGTTATTTTTTGATTTTAAAGGAAAATAATTTTGAGCTTTTTTTCCAATACAATGGTCTCTGAGTTTTTTTCTTCAATTAAAAGGTTATAAATTGCGCAATGCTTCGATACGTGTCTTTGCAATTCTTTAAATGACATCAAAATCGACGCCAAAAAAAATCGTGCTTTTTTTACCAGATTTGTATCAAAATGAAGAAAATAAATTATTTATTAATTGTACGTATTACATATATGATAATTATTGTAAAAATTTTCAAGACACAGTGATTATATACACTATGCACAACGGATAATTGCAATATTTTTACATCCTGGAATTTCACAATGAGACTTACAGTTATCTCCAAATACAAAATCGGTTGGATTTTTAAATTTATCTGGTTGAATAAATGTATAACTACTTTCAAACCATAGATAATAGAAAAAATTGATGTATCGCCGAGACTAGAACTGATTATGAGTCAGTGATTATTATTAAATAATATTATTCTCATGTGTACATTTGAAATCTCCTCGTAATAGAACACTGTCTGAAAAATGTCCTACGAAGTTTTTCTATATTCTAAACCCAAAAACATCTAATGGTTGAATTTGTCTAGTAGCCTCTTTAGGAATAATCTTCATCCCATCTCTATTTCTTTATCCGGTAGTTTGGCAGACGTGACAGCTTCAGAACAATGTACGGTCTACGAATCAATCAAAAGTGAACTATTGTTTCTAACATTCGGATAGAATATACCCTTCAACCAGATTTTGAAGTGTTCGAAAAAAAATTAGTAAGTCACTTTCAGAACATATCACATAATATAATATTTAAATTTAATTTTTTACCTGAAGTAAGTTTTTCCGATTTCGATATTGCTACGTGTACATCATCTGGTCTCAAAAGTGATGCTTTTACCTGTGGACCAAGTTTCCCAGTTGGTTCTTTTAACACGAGAAAAAGGGGAGTAAGGAGTTTTCCATCAGCTGATATCATTGGTTGTATAGTATAATTGTGAGTTGTCAGAAAAACCGAGTGAACTCACAGAAACAATAGGATGAGCTCTTTTGAATAATAGTATCCACGTTGGAGATGCTTGAAAATGAAGATTATCAAATCGTAAATTTTTTTTCAGCTAATTATACCCGTTTTTTGAAATCAGAATCATGGACTTTTTTCTAAGCATCGATAGCAGTTTTAAAATTTTTCAACGTATATTTGCGAATTTGAGCTATTTTTGTTTTGTATGTCCCACCTTGGTTCAATTGATGTTTTCAGCGTTTTAATGATCAATTCTTTTTCTTACCACTTCGCCAATACTCAACTGCTCGCAATAATCATGACTTGAGCTCTCTTCATCAGTAGTACATGCTCCATCAGACATTTTTGGTTTATGGATTGCAGATCGATATTCTTTGTCTTCTATAATTTCTGGTTTCTAATCCTTATATGGTTCTTCAAAATGTACTGAATTCTTCTCCATCATTATATTTATTCATTGCATTTCATCATATTGGTTCAAAATAACTTTTCAATTGTATTACAGCATCATTTACAGGTGTCTTCATAATTCTCATAGTTTGAAATGTTGTTCAAAGTAACCGAATAACATTAAGAGGGTAAACTTTTATTTTCAACTATTGAGTGTTACACAATTTTTAGAATAAATGATAATAATATTTTTGTTTTGAGCACACGATTTTATACACATATAAAAATATGACAATTGACTAAAATTAAAATGAATACAAGATGCAAAAATATCCATTCACTACAGTATTAAAGATAAATGCAAAAAATAATGTTACAATTTTTTATATGATTAAAATATGTCACATTTGTTTAAAATGCTAGCATTGAATAATCCGTATATTACAATTACAAAAATAATTTTCCTTAAAAATAGTTTATCAGTGACTGTGATAAGAATTATATCTAGGTTTGCCCACATGACGATAACAAAAAATTATATTTTGATTGATCATAAACTACTTAGTTTCTGATTTCGATGTAATTTATTCGGTGATTATTGTGACGATAAATAATTAATCAACAACAATTGAAAATTTTTAAATTGCAATTTGGTTTACTATCGTTATTGTTATTTTAAAATTTGTAAAAACACGTATCTCGTAATTTTTCATGCGCTTTCGATTGAAAATGCTCTCTTACAAAAATAATTAATAGTTTTTCAGTTATAGATTTGTTGTTATTGTAATGTCTGAAAGTATATTAATTATTTTACATAATTATTTAAAATATATTTCAAGAAAGGCTAAAAATGAATAGCAATAAACCTTAAGGATTGAGGTTAACGATTAATACTCAAGTTATTTTTTGAGTTTTCCTAAGATTTCATTAAAATAGTAAGGATTGCGGAGAATAATTGAGGAAACCATTTTTTAAAAAACAAAGACCATGAGAAGGGTCTTGTGGCCGTCTGAAGCTAGAGACTTTTGATTATGTCACATTCGACTAAATAAATACGTAAGGTATGATGCATCAGTCAGTTGTCAAAAAAGTAAGATCGAGATCAGATCGTCGTGGAACATCTCTTGAAATTGTAAGTCTTGTTTTGTCTTGAACATTTTATTGATAATATTTCAAAGTTTTGTAAATTTTTGTATGAAGTTTATTCAATCGTCAAATTAGTTTTAAATTTATATTTAAATTAATTCGCGAGTAAAAGTAAATAATTGCGCTGACTGGAGCACGACTAAGGACCAATAAATTGTGATTCATCTCGACCGAGTAAAAGAAATTATCTATTGGTAACGTTTAAATTGTTTTTATAACTTTTCAATAATTTTTATCCAATAAAATTTTGTTATTGTTTTTATATAAATCACACATTTTTACTCTTTCTATCGAAGATCGTCTTATCCCTGTCTATTAGTCGAAAGGGTAAGACTAAAAAGAGAAACTTAAAGTTTCTAAGGTTAAGCATACGGTTTACATATTGACAACTTTAAAGAGCAAAATTACATAACATGATGATTGGAGATAACTGTAAGTCTCATTGTGAAATTCCAGGATGTAAAAATATTGCAATTATCCGTTGTGCATAGTGTATATAATCACTGTGTCTTGAAAATTTTTACAATAATTATCATATATGTAATACGTACAATTAATAAATAATTTATTTTCTTCATTTTGATACAAATCTGGTAAAAAAAGCACGATTTTTTTTGGCGTCGATTTTGATGTCATTTAAAGAATTGCAAAGACACGTATCCCGTAAATTTTGATACTCTTTCGATAAAAATTGGTTTCATAAAAAAATAATTTTTAGTTTTTCAGTTACAGATTTTTTGTTATTTTTAATTTAAAAAAATGTATATCCGCAAGTTTTATAAGTATGTAAATAAAGGTATTTTTCATCATTTTTAACGTTGTTTTTAACGTATAAGGTCATTTTGGAAAATATTGATCAGAAATATGTGAAAATTAAAAATCACCTTTATGGGGTGTCAACTTTGGAGGTGATTTTCACCCCTTAAAAACGTTTCTCCGCAGACAAAAATACGTGGTTCATCATTTTCGACGTAGATTATTATATAGAAGCCTCAGCGAAGTTGACGGTGACCACCTATCGAGGTTTCCTTGTAAGTTACAAATAGATGTTTATTCTACTAGATTCAGTTTACTTTTGTCAATGTTATTTAAGCATTGTCTAATCTAAGCTTGATAAAAATAGAGAGTAGCTTTCTTCACATACTGTTCGTATAATATTGGAAATATGTGTACAACAACCATATGTATTTAAGAAACAAATCAAAATATCTTACACTATTACAGTATAAAATGTATAAACCTGTTTTATGGTATCTATTACTAGCATACATATTTTGAGGAACTCGAACACGCCAATAAATCCTGACCTGATGTTTCCAAATTTGACAAATTTTCCTCGGGTCATCTTCCTGGTATTTTTAACTGTTTATTCCAACGATTCTTTATTCAGCATATGACAAACCAATAGTTAATTGGATATTGATTCTTTTCTTAACTTTCTTGCAACTGTCTTCAATACTGGTGCTTATTCCATTGTCGATATTATTCGATTTTTCATTCTTTTCGAATCTTCAGATATGTAAACTCTACTTATTGGCAAGTGAGCAGGGATTTGTATTTCCGAACGATTTTCGATAAAGAGACTTATTGGTGGTGTTGCTTTGACGGATTTTGGCATAAACTCATATGATGCTTAAAATTCTATTGAAATGAATTTTTGGCTTCATGTTCCGACTTTGAGAAGGTGGTGAAAAAAGATGGACAGAGATTACAGGTGTACGGTAATCAGAATTATGTGGACTGTATTCATCAGGATATTTGGATGCTAAATCATTCGGGACTGTTAAACGGCTGTAAATAAATTAGCTGACCCTAGTTAACTATAACAAATTACTATTTATTAACCACTAAAGTACTAGTAATAAGTAAATGAATGATCAGAGAATCTGTCTGATAACTGTATAGAATGAGTTCACTAAAAAACAGTCTTTGAATTGTCTGCGTACAGTCTTGAGGTCACTGAGAGTTCTGATGATAAATTAACTGATATTGCACATAACAAGTTCACTGATGAGTTAACAGCTGAGTTGAACTTCACAGAAAATTGTAAGTTTTCCTGTGCTGGTCTCTGCACCAGGAGTAGTCTGGATTTTTTGAGTAGTCTTAGTTTCATTGTGTTGGCGTCAGCCACACAGACACAAGTGAGTTGTTCGTGCGTGGATCGTGTGTGTGTGTCTGTCTATAAGGCCGTGAGGCGTCGAAGCCGACATCGTTTGCGACTCTTGTAAGAATGTGCTGATGCGGACCAACATAAGCTTGCTGATGATGTCTTCTGAGAGATAGACTGCTTGATGAGTTCATAATCATCACTACAGATGATTGACTGATGAGTTATTCCATTTCTGATAAATATTCTGAAGAGTTCTTTAGATTTTCACTAGAGAGTTATACTGCGTGAGTTCTCTGCTAG